GGTCAGCAGCCTAACAAACTGCATCAGAACTCACTACCTGAACAGTACCTTGATGGAGTGGGATGCTCCACAGTGGTTCTGGGACAGGGATATCATAGTGTCGGACTTTATGATATAAAACCACATTTACTGTGAGTAATTTGGAAGCCATCAGGCATTGAATTATTGATTCATGAGACGAATAGGTACGATATAGACCAAATTGCACCACAAAATCCCAAGCACCATCTAAATTCTCATCTAGTACACTGTTAAACTCTGGCTAATTAAGTCTCACTGCAGTTTGTAGATCATAGCTGCGTTTGCATTTTTATAAAAAAGACAGTGATATGAGCTTAATGGAATCTGACCTATATTACTCTGCCAAGAGAAATTCAGAGGCCCCAATTGGAGCCAATGTGGCACAAAGAACTGACCCTCTCCTTCTCGGGAAGTGGGTGGCATCATTAGGGAAAGCACTGAGTCAGTCATTTTTGTGGCTTACCGTTGCCACATTGTAGTTCCATGAACTCGGAGGACATCCTCGGGGACAGGGTGTTATAGTAGAGAGAATGAAGGAATAAACATCAAAAACTAGGTTTAAAGCCGGATGGTGGTGGCGCACACCTTTGATCCCAGCTCTCAGGAGGCAGAGGCAGGTAGATCTCTGTGAGTTCAAGGTCAGCCTGGCCTACAGAGCGAGTTCCACGACAGCCAGGGCTACACAGAGAAACCCTGTCTCAACCCCTACCCCAACATAAGGTTTGTCCCCAGCTCTGTGGCCCTGACAGTTTTGTGTGCTTGTCAAGACAGAGGGGTGAAGCGAGGCATAGGGATTTTGTCTACACATGTTCCTTCTGTGTACCCCATACTGGCCTTGAACCTGTGACCCTCTTGCCTCAGTCACCTAAAACACCATACCTGGCAGAGTATAGCTTTTGTGAACTTTGGGACAGTTCTTACTTAACAGAGAGTAGAGATCCCTTCCTCTCCCCAACATTCAGCTGCCTAAGTGTTTTTGTTCCTTTTATGTCAAAGCATGATTATGTGGGAAAAGATGATTTCAGTTTTGGGGGTTAGTTGAGGACTACGAGATGTGATAGCAACCGTTTCCAGGTCTGGTGGGACCGTTAGAAGAGTACAGCCAAAAAGGGCCTCTGAGGCAACAGGGGAGGATGCTCAGTGGTGCCCTTGACCTATGCACAGTCAGAGTTCTCTCAGGAGCTGGAGGAAGGTTGGCAGAAGACTCGGGTAGAGAAAATCGGAGCTTAAATAGGCCTCCTTTTTCGTCTAGTCTGGCCTCTTCTTGACATGTCCCAGCAACTGTTCCCTGATCACCACAGAAGGTCTCCCACCTTCCAAACCAGACTGACTAAATCGCTTCCTCAAATGTTCTCCCAGCCTGGAGAGGCTTGGCCTGGCTGCCCGGCCACTGTCATGTGCTTGCTTTTCCACTGCCTCCCGTCACCGCCCCAAGGCCGCTTTAATTCTTTGTCTTTCATAAAGTATTCCCTGACTCATGGAAGTGAAATGATCCAACCCAGTTCGTAAAAGTAGAAAATGACTCCTCTGGACCAGAAAGAGAGAGTCTCCATAAGAAACCCAGCCGCAGACCAGAGTAAGAGGGCCGCATGGATTCCTCAGTTCCTGTTCCGACGGGAAGAGCCCCCCTGGGGAAGGAAGTCCATCTGTGGAATGCACAGTGAATTCTCTTCACATCTGGGAGCTCAGCAAACATTATTAACGAGCAGTAATGATTTGTCAAGTGATAGAAATCGTTCCAGGGGAGGAACAGGGTAGGAAATACAGAGTCCTTCCCATGTTTCAAGGGGAATGAGGAGGCAGGTCATCCAGATGTGTTTCCTTAGGGGAGCTGTGAATTCCTTGTGTGCAGCTCTCACAGTGTAATTGTATCTGCCTTTCTCACCATTCTTTGTGTATGCACACACACATATTTAAGATGAAAGGGTAGAATGTGTCATTGGTTATCCAGCATCTAAAGAGCTTGGAAGTCACAACTCCATCCCCCCAACAAGTACTGCAAAGCATTCACAGTTCCAGGGCTTAGGCTTACCAAAACACTGAGATCTCATCTTAGGAATATGGACAGTTCCTCCCCATCCTCCCACCGAGCCCTGGCTCCGAACCTTACACATATCACCGTATTACCGCAGGCCTGTTTGCAGCAGTGTTTGAATGTGTTCTGTATTAGTTATCGTCGGCTGCTCTGATAACACACCATGACCAAAGCAGCTTACACAGAGTTTATTTTGGCTTATGGTCCCAGAGGGAGAGTCTGTCGTGGTCAGGGAGAACGGAGCAGGAAGCTGAGCATCTTCAATGGCAAAGTCGAAGCAGAGAGAACCAACTGGAAGTGGAAAAAGACTGTGGACTCTCAAAACCCACCCCCTTAATGTTCCTTCTTTGGCAAGGCTATCTTCTAGAGGTTTCATTCCTACCCCTCCCCCCAGACCCTCCCCCCAAAACCCTCCACCCCGGACCCTCCACCCCTGCAAACAGTGTCACCAACTAAGGACCAAATATTCAAATACACGTGCCTTAAGGGGGACATTTCACATTTCATACTACCACACCTCCTCAAGTTCTTATGTTGGGATTTTAATTCCTCAGTGTGGTCAGTGGTGGGAGGTGGGTCCTGGGAGCAGATGCCACAGGGTAATAATGCCGTCCCCTTTGTGTTCTTGCTCTTGCAGAATGAGATTAGCCTCCAAAAAGCAGGTCATGCAGTTCATATGTCCCTACATAAATGCATCTTAGCAAGTTCAAAGCCCAGAAGCTCATCCAGGAGAAGAGAGTGGAGAAAGATTTCTTAACTACATAGAGCAAGTGAAGAGAGCATTGGGACCCTTTCAAAAGTAGTGCTTCTCCGAGGAGAGGAAGTGTGGGGATTTTTATTTGGGAACCTTTGTGGAAAAGTACATTAGTGGTAGGCATATGCCTGAGCATGCTCAACTTAAGGCCACAGTTCAAGAAGTAAATACGGTGGTTTTAAGCAGTGTGGGCATGCTCAGTCCAACATTATAAGGAGCCAAATGTACTCTAAGTCACCTAAAAGAAAGAGTGGCTTTGTGGCTTTGGCTGGTTATCCACAAGCATCTTAGCTGAAACCAAAACAAAAGATAGGTCTGCAAGTGCCCGGATGCCAGAGTGAGGCGCCTGCCCGCTCTTGGTTCTGGCTTCTGTGTGTGCTCTCTTGTTCTGCTTTCCGCCACGAAGCAAGAAAAACCTCACCAGATTCGGCTACCCGATCGTTGACTTTCCAGCCTCTAGACACTTGAACCGGAAGAAACTTATTTCCTTTATAAATTACTCAGCTGCAGATATTCTGCTCTAGCAATAGGAAATGGACTAAGACATCAGTCATGTCTGGCTATGAAGAAAAAACTCAAAACGTACTAAAATGCAAATAATGAGACGGAACAAAGACCAAAGGCGGACTCAGTGTAGCAGGGATGTTGGCTCTAACAGACTAGGAATTGAAAACTATGGTTAATGTGCTAGGGCTCTAATGGAAAAGTGGGCAGCTTGTAAGGACAGATGAGCAATGTGTGAGAGAGAAACAAGAAATGCCAGAGAACAAAATCACTTAGCAGAAGCAAGGAGAGCCCTTGACGGACGCAGCTACGGAGCGTCTCTGGGTTCGGGGTGCACCAGTAGAAACCTCCAAAGCTGAAAACCTAGGAGGAAAAAGGATTTGGGATAAAGAGATGAGAGTAAGAACTATGAGCCCACTAGGTGTGGTGGCGCACACCTTTAATCCCAGCACTCGGGAGGCAGAGGCAGGCAGATCTCTGTGAGTTCGAGGTCAGCCTGGTCTACAGAGCGAGTTCCAGGCCAGGCAAGGCTATATAGTCAGACCCTGTCTCAAATTCCCCACTAATAAAGAACTTTGAGACAAGCACAGTAGATGTAGTGACATGTGTAACGGGGACACCAGAAGGAAGTGAAAGGGAGAAGAAATATTTGAAACAACAATAACTGAGAATTTCTGCAAGATAATGTTAGGCACAGAACCATTGACCCAGGAAGTTCAAGTTCAAGTTTAAGCAGGGTAGATGCTGTAATTCCAATCTTAGCACTCAAATGTGCTACCCCCAAAAAAGTGTTACTAGGAGGCCAGGCGTCATGGCACCACACCTTTAATCCTGGCACTTGGGAGGCAGAGGCAGGTAGATCTCTGTGATGCCTTCCAGGAAAGCCCGGTCTACTTGTCTCAAAAAAAAAAAAAAAATACCCGAAACATAGGGGTGACCTATGTGGAGCTGTGCTACTGTGGAAATTGGTTTCTCCTTTGGGTTCTTAGTCTTGTTAGTAACGTGATTTAAAGCAGGAGTTAGTAGGATGCTTGTGGAAAATTTTATTATTAGGGTTGGGGAGAAAGCAACAGGTTGAGCAATCTGTACATCCCAGCAGCTGCAGGGACGAGGGATATGGAGACGAGGAAGGCAGGTAGCCATGCCTTTTGAGTCAGCCAGCAAGCAGGCACATAGCAGCAAGCCAGCTACATTTCTAAAGTAGGGCAGCTTCAGAGAAAACACAAATTTAGACTTTGGCTAGTATCTAAAAAAAAAAAAAAGGGAAGAGGAGGAGAAGGAAGAAGGAAGAAAAAGAGGAGGAGGAGGAAGAGTGTGGTGGCCCAAGCCCAGGGCTCAGAGGGCTGAAGCAGGCAGCTCTGTGAGTCTAAGACCAGTCTGGTCTACAAAAGGAGTTTCTGACCAGCCAGGGTTACATAGTGAGACTGTTTCAAAAAAAGATAGAAAAGGGAATGTCACACTTTCTGAGTTAAGTGGATAGGCTTAGCAGAGCTGCATAGCAGATCCGTAAGTGACAGTAGCTGAAGACAGGGTTCAGGGAAAGAAAAGAGGGTAATTATTCCTCCCATCTCTTCAGCATGGCTTTAGGTGAGTCAGCCTTCCTGAGGAGTGGTCTCCTGCCCAGGTGGTTGACAGCTGTGTTAATTGCTTCTTTGTGGCTGTAATAAAATACCAACCAAAAGCAACTTGGGAAGGAAAAGGTTTATTTGGCTTACACTTCCATGTTACAGTCCATCACTGAGGGCAGCCAGGGTGGGGACACGGTCATGAGCAGACGTGGGACCATGGAGGAAATTTTACTGGCTTTCTTCCTATGGCTTGTCAGCTTGCTTTCCTATGCAACCCAAGACCATCTGCCCAGGTATGGCTCTACCCATGGTGGGCTGGGTCCTCAGGTATCAATCATTAACTAATAAAATGTCTGACACACATGCCTGTGGCCCAGTCTAGTTGGAGAAATACCTCAGTTGAGGTTCCCTCTCCTCAGGTGTCTTTAGTTTGTATCAAGTTGACAAAAACTAACCAGGATAACTGACTCATGTCAACTTGACACACAAATGTACCACTATAAACCATTAACTTTCCTTTCTTGTTTATCCCCAAGTACAGCTTTGAAAAGACCCACGGTCTTTAAAAAATGCTATCTCTTTAAAAGTCCAAAGTCTCTGGGCTGGGGAGATAACTCAGCAGTTAAGACTAGTTGTTGTTCCTGCACAGGACTGGTTGAGTTCCCAACACCCATATGGTGTCTCACAACCATTCCTAGCTCTGGTTCCAGGGGATCTGACATCCTCTTCTGATGGAGGAAAGTCTTTCTGTATACTGTGAATATGTGTTGCTCTGATTGATTGATAAATAAAGCTGTTTGGCCTATGGCAATGCAGCTTAGAGGCAGGTGGGAAATGCAGAGAGACATGAAGAAGGCGGGGAGAGATGCTAGCTAGTCGCACAAGGAGCAGCATGTAATGGCATACAGATTAAAGCCACGGAACACGTGGCAACATATAGATTAACAGAAATGGCTGAGTTTAAATATAAGAGCTAGTCAGTCATTAGCCTGAGCTAATGGCCAAACAGTTTTAATTAATATAAGCTTCTGTGTGTTTACTTGGGGGACGCAAGTGGGAGAGATTTTTTCCAACCGCCGGCTGGCTGGGACACAGGAAATCTTCCAGCTACACTCTTCTTTCCTCTATGTGCACCAGGCATCATGTACATAACAATAAAATAAGTAAGTCGAAAAGAAAAGTATAGGTCAGAGCATTAGAGAAAGAAAAAAAGGTAAAATAAAACCTTTTTTATTGTAATTGATCTAAGAGGATGGTAGTTTACTAAAAATAATAATAGCAACAGCATATTTTGTGCTTATATGTGTATGCATGTGGATAAGCTAAAGGAGCGACAGCAATTGTACAAAGAGTAGGAAGGAGGAATTGGGACTGTGTCATCAGAAATTACATGTACGTACCTGTCAGTCAACATAGAATTTAAAAGTGAACTGAGATTTAAAAAAAAAAATGGGGCTTAGATTATAAGTAAATAAACTTTATGGAGACCACTTCAAAACTAGGAAAGGGGCGGGCAATAGCAAGGAAAATGTATTCTATGCACTTAAACTACATCAGTAATCACTTTGAATGCTGGTAGTCTAAAGGCACCAATCAAGAAACAGATTGTCATGGGTTGGGTGGCTCAGAGGCAGGAGGATCTCTGAGTTCAAGGCCAGCCTGATCTACAGAGTGAGTTCCAAGACAGCCAGGATTGTATAGAGAAACTCTGTCTGGGGGTGGGGTGGGGGTTCCTTTCCTCAGACTCCAGAATTGCTTATGCAAAGAAGGGTTCTTAAGGCAAGAACTGACAGTTGATTGTGATTCACTCTAAGAGTCTTGCTGTTTGGTGTTTGCTGGTGTGTGTGTGTGTGTGTGTGTGTGCGCGCGCACACGCGCGCGCGTGTGCGTGTGTGCGCACGCTTAGTTGAAGTTAAGGCTCTTTTCCTTTCTTGTTAACCCCTCCCAGGTTTGACCAATGTCTTAGTTACTTCTCCATTACTATCATAAGACACCATGACCAAGGCAACTTATAAACAAAAGTATATAATTTGGGTTTACTGTTTCAGAGGGGTAGAGTCCATGATGGCATGGTGGCAGGAACAGCTGAGAACTCACACCTCGATCTGCAAGTAGGAGGCAGAGAAAGAGAAAGCAAGCACTGGGAGTCATAGAGTCTTTTGAAACTTCAACCAGCCCCCGGTGACACATCTCCAACAAAGCCACACCTCCCAATTCTTCCCAAACAGTTCCATCAGCTAGGGGTTGAGTATTCAAATATATGAACCTATGGGGGCCCATCCTCATTCAAACTACTGCAGCTAGTACGGCACCCTGCCCAGAGAATACTGGTCTTAGTTTGGGTTCATGATGGTTTGAATGAGAAATGTCCCCCATAAGTGCATATATTTGAAACCTTGGTCCCCAGTGGGTGGTGCTATTTAGGGGAGTCTTTGGGGGTGTGGCCTTGCTGGAGGAAGAGCATTACTGGAGGCAGGATTGAGATCTTATAGCTTCATACTACTTCCAGTTTGCTCTCTCTGCTTCATGTTTGAAGTTGAGGGTGTGAGCTCTCAGCTTCCTGCTCCTGCCTCTGTGCCTGCTGCTTACTGCCTTGCCTACTGTGACAGACTCTTACCCTCTGGAACATAAGCCAAAATAAACTTTCTTCCACAAGTTGCTTCTGGACTTGGTGCTTTCTCACAGCAACAGAAAAGGAAGTAATACAGGTTTTTTCACAGACCTGCTGAACGGCACAGCAGGTAGGTGACTTCTGACACCAAGGCATGGGGAGGTGTGGGAATGGGGGATGACAGGAGGGAAGGCGGCCAGGGAAGGGTGGGAGAGCCAGTAGCAGGTGATGGCTGTGGGCTGGGGGAGCTCCAGCCTTCTGTCCAGGGTAGGACACCTCCAAGAGAACCAGGGCTGGGGTTGGCACGGGCAGCTCCTGTCAACCGTTGGTTGGGTGATGTTCCCGGGAGCGTTCATTCCTGGTGCTCCGTTCCTCTCAGGTGGCAGTGGGAGTGTGGTTCCCCAACTCTGAGGCAGGACAAGGGGGTAGGCACAGCTGTATCTTCTGCAGCTGCTACAGCTGCGAGCTGAGTTGAGGTACGCCGTGTTCTTGGTGAGTGACTGCCATCTCCCCCGGATGCAGCAGCAGTCATAAGTAGTTTGTTGTTTGGCTACAAAGGGAAAGAGGAATGGGGTTAAAGAGGGAGCGCGCCCATGTTGGTTCTAGGGTACGGGGAATGTTCTGTAAGCCTTTGTGCCAGGAACATGGATCTTAGTGTCTGGGTGGTTCTGGCGGTGATGGTAAGGGCAAAGTACAGGCTGCCCCATGCTACCTCAGAACTCCGCTCCTTCCACCTTGCCCACTTTGTTCCTGGTCGAGAATAGTGGTCGGTTAAATATGCCACAACCTTCCTAATCATTAGCCGGTCCTGTGACTGTTAAACGGGAAAGCCCGTTAGCCACTCCTGTAGGAAAGCATCCTGCGTATAGCTTAGAGAGACCTGAACGGATCCTTTTATACATGGCGATAGTTGTTTCCAACTTGAATTGCATAGTTTATTTTTCTCAACCCTAGGGGTAGAATACAGTCTGCATTGTGTCCATCCCAAATTGGTTTCTGGTAGGCTGTGATTATGGGGACTGTTCTCAAAGTACTGAATGCATAAGGCTCCCAGATGCTTGCACAAATCCACCCGCCAGGTGGAAGGAACAGCGTGCTGGCTCTGGTGCCTCATCATTCAGTTTGACCTCCAAGGATAATCTGTGTCCTTGAAACTGACAGTCGGGGTAGAAGCGTTAGGCGAGGGTGAAATGCCGGTTAGCTCACGCCTACATTAAACAGAGACCATGAGGACAGGTGCCAGCATTTCACCACGCGGGTTTCTTTCTGCGGTCTGAGCCGTGAATGCCATGCTAAGTGGGTCATTGTGAAGCGCAGTAAGTTAATTTTTCTCCAGTAAAAGTAAAAACAAACCAATAGAGTCTTCTGCTAACTTTGGCAGGTTCGCCCCAGCTAAGTGGTTTTGTTTCTTTGTATGAAGGTTTTACAAAAATGTTTTACCAGAAAATGGAAGAGCAACCAATTTTACCATTGAACCAAAGTAAAGACATTGCCGGGGGAAGGGGGCGCGTCTGTAGCTCAGAGGCTGTTGCAGAAGACTTAGAAGACTTCTGT